ATTGCCGCAACCGCCATCCCTCCTCTGCAAAGGTGTGCTCTTTGTCTGCTGCAGAGAGAAGTACCTGAGCTCTAATGTCTAGGGAGTATTGGGGGATGTGATGTTGGGAAAGATTCCATCTACAGCGTTAATGTGGCTGCCGATGTGAAGGAGCTCATCTCCCAGGTAAGATCTGATGGGGGGTTCAACTCAATACCTGATTCATACCATCTGGGGGGTGAGGAGATGAGTGGCAGGTGCTGGCACCATTTCTGCCTTTTCTTCTGTGCCAAGGGGGCAGTTCCACCTGCTCCTTCCCCTAGCCATGCCTGCACACCTGAGATCTCTCCGCTCCTTCTCTCTGCCATGGCATGGATCGTATTATGGTGTTCAGGGCTAGACTAGCTCACTGGAGTTAGAGGAGCAGGATTGCGGTATGACAGGGGCCCCCAGAGCCCTGCCATCTGCAGAGGATCCTGTGCTGAGCAGGTTTGATCTCCAACATTTATATAATACAGCTATTGTGTTCTGAAAGGGGGGCACACCGGTCAGCGCTCACAGCCATTTGCTGAAAGTGCTGGTTGGATGCTGTTTTTGGAAGACCTTTTTCTGTTATGCCCCTTCAACAGAAGCTGGCCGTTTAGCCGGCTTCTGGCTACTTAAGAGAAGGGGTGTTGTCATTGAAAATAAAGCTTTGTTAGTTAAAAAAAAAACATGGCTCTTAACTTTTTTAGCTGGCTCCTAGATTCAAAGCAAATGGGTCAAGTCTTGATATAACTGGTTATTAATATTTACCACTACATATAGATATTCAAGAATAAACTACCTTACATTCTGTATTAATTAAATTATACAGCAAACATTTTTTTTTTAGGTTTTTATCCAATTAATCAAAACAATATTCGTCCAAGTAATCAATGATAAAAAATTATGAAACCCTACTCTGTTCCTTTGAATGGCTGAGCCATGATGATGTCACTCCCATGCATGTACACGGGAGTCATGTGAAGGGACGTCACTGGCTGCATTCAGTGTGAATATCTCCTGAACACCGCACCTTAAGAGATATTTACTGTGCCTACAGGTAAGCCTTATTATAGGCTTGCCTGTATGTATAGCTTCAAAAGTGAAGTTTACTTCCGCTTTAAATACTTTTACTTATGGTAAACTGTAACAGAAAATCCCACACAGTAAAGCAACAGTTGCATTCCATACAACTTTGCTTGACAGAATTTAATAACAAATAGGCAGTATAACACAGTATATGGAGTAAAAATAGCAGGTTCTTATTCATTCTACTTACACATAGCAATGTATGCCCTGGCCTAGGTGAAATATTGGAGGTGAACTCCTTCAGAGCCCTTATTCTACATACCTTTATCACATTTACTGAGTACGTGACACGTGTCTGATCATTCTACAAAGTCACACAGCCTGAGAGGAAAGACTCTAGCAGGATTTTACACAAAGGTATTCAACTCTGTTAAAAAAAGGGGTTTGGGTTTATACTTGTAAAAAAAAAAGGTTTGTGCAGCAAATATCCTAGATAAAAATAAGACTCAAAATTCCAAAACTGTAGAAATAGGAAGAGATAGCCCGACCACCGCACACCTCACTCGGCCCGAGTGGTTAGCAGGTAAAAGCCTGCGCTTGATTCATCCAACACATGTTGAGGGCATAGTTTGGATGAATCGAGGTGAGGCTGCTTTTACCTGCTAACCACTTGGGCTGGGCAAGGTGTGTGGCAGTCGGGCTATCTCTTCCTGTTTCTACAGTGTTCTTTGGGTCTTGACAAGCCTGGCATCTAATTAATCGGACCTTGTTAGCCTGAGCAGGGGCCATTAAGTATTTATCGTGGGTCACACTCAAAATTCCAAAGTCCACAAATAATCTGTCAACCACATGTCACAAATAAAAAGTTCACATCTTATTAAATACAACATAATAAAAACCTATACACAGTCATCACATCAGGACATACATTAAATACACTTAGACAACCACCATCATTGTTTGGTACTTTGATATAGATACACCAGTCCCAGTTTGTTGGCATAAATGGGTCTACGCATTTCAGAGCAAGTGGTTGTGACAGGAGTCACTTTGGGTGGGGGGGCCATGGAACACAACTGACTTTGGAGAGGTGGGGAGACCCCTGTCTTGGCTCCCCATATCCCTCTTATGTGTAAATCACCCTGTGCCTGTTAGGGGTACAGGGTGATCTGTCCTAACATTGTGTGGGCTTTCTCTCAGACTATTGATTGTTTGTTACGTGGCTGCATCCCACTGTTCTATTGTTTGTCTGGCTTGGGAGCAAACTATTATGGGATGTGTTTGTGTATTAGCTTCGTGGGGGGGGGGGGGGGGGGAGACTCCAGCAGCTGTCCCTCCTGATGGGACTGAAGTTTGAATACCTGTGTGTCTCTTGTTACTAAATGTAGATTGCCCCGCCCTGTGTCATTATGCAGGGAGGGGGGATTGTCCCCTGAGTGTATATATCTTGTATCTGTGTTCAAGTAAAGTAGTTTTCTATGGTCAGCTGTTGTGTCTGTTGCAAGTGTTCGGACGGGGAAGCGGTATTGTAACGGAAGTGTTCAAGCGCAGTCTGGGTTGGTTCTGTTACAGAGGTCTGTTCCTCAGAACGCCCAATTAATCTCTATGTGTTGGATGTAGCTTATATGTTCTATCTAGTGCTTAATGCAGTTCTGTAGCATATAATACATGTCCAGTTAAGATGTAATATTAGCAAAACTAACAAAGTCTTAGGCCCTGTTCACACTTTCGTGTTTTAGTGTGTGGGCCAAAATGCAAAACAGCAAATGTGCCACAGGCACACGTTACTCAATGAGGCTGTTCACATCTATGTGTTGTGTTGCCTTTAAAAAATAAATGGGGCATGTTTTGTTTTTTTTTTGGGCATTTTCAAGTGTTGTGAGCCCTATTAAAGTTTATTAAAATGTAAGAATAGTGCTCTTTAATGATTTTTTCATGCATTTTCAGCCCCTAGATCCTTTTTAAAGTACACCAACAATTATGTCACTGCAGGAAATCAATCCTCATAACCAAAAATGCATGACAGAGTCGTTTGGATTTACTAAAGGCAAATAGACTTATAGACTGTAAAGAGTACACAATCAGGTGTAAAAGCCATGTACTGTTGACTGGCTCACTACCTCTGTTGGAAGTTTATTCCAAGCATCAACTACTCCTGGAGTAAAATAATACTTTTTAAGATTAGTTTTCAAACTTTCCTCGAGTTAGTTTGAGGTCATGTCCCCATGTTCTTGAACTCACCGTCATATTGAAAATACTTCCCCCCTGAACCTCATTCACCCCCTTGATGTATTTAAATGTTTCCATCATGTCTCCTCCATGTTTCCCTTCTTTTATTCAGACTCTATTAAGTTCCTGAAGTCTCTCCTGATGTTTTATCCTCCAGACCTTTCAGCATTTTTTTACCCACCTCTGGACTCGTTCTATCTTATGAATATCTTTTTGTAAGTGAGGTTTCCAGAACTGGACACCGTATTCTAAATGAGGTCTCACCTAAGATCTATATAGGGGAATCAGGACCTCCTTCCTCCTGCTGGTGACCCCTCTAGTGATGCATCCTAGAATTCTATTCACTTTCTCCACTGCCTGGTCACACTGTTTGCTCATTTTACAATCATCTGGAATAAGTACCCCCAAATCCTTTTCCTCTTTAGTGCTGCCCAACACTGTACCCCCAATGTTGTACTCTCTCAAGGGATTCTTTTTCCCTAGGTGCATTATTTTACATTTAGAAACATTGAACTGAAGTTTCCACTTCTTTGCAGCTATGCCAAATCATGTTTCGTGTTACCGACCCCTCCAGAGAGATCAACCTGATTTACACACCTTTGTGTCATCAGCAAAAAGACATAACTTGCCCAAAAAAACTTTTTGGTTAGATCAATTACATATAGATTAAATAGAACATAACCTAGTACAGAGCCTTGTGGTACACCACTAGTGACTAGTCTGTTGCGAGTGAACCCTATTTACAAGCACACTCTGGTATCTATCCTTTAGCCAACTACATATCCAATGAACCACCTGGGGGTTAAAGTGATATTAAAGTCTTCTGTTTTGTTTTTTTTTTTTTTGTTTTTTGTCTTTATAAATCACAAGCATGTTATACGTACCTGCTCTGTGCAGTGATTTTGCACAGAGCAGCCCTGATCCTCCTCTTCTCTGGTTCCCTGTCCATGCTCTTGGCCCCCTGTCCATGCTCTTGGCCCCCCTGTCCATGCTCTTGGTCCCTCCCACCTAGGGAGTGCCCAGAACAAGCACCTTGCTCTGGGGTGACCCAAACAGGCGTGCTCCGGAGCCACAGCTCTATGTGTCCATTCACACACTCAGTTGCAGCTCAGCCCTGCCCCCTCCCTCTCCTGATTGACTCACTGGCTGTGATGGCCTCAGCCAATCAGGAGTGAGAGTCCCCAGAGATCCGAGGCTCTCGCAGACATCGCTGGATCGAGAAAGGTCTCAGGTAAGTGTTTGGGGGGCTTGTGGGGGTGGCTGCTGCACGCAGAAGGTTTTTTACCTTCATGCATAGAATGTATGAAGATAAAAATACCTTGAACCTTTACAACCACTTTAAATCCTAGCTTGCACAACGTTAGTATTCATTATTTGGAACTGTATCAAATGCAAAGCTCTCAGTTTAGGAACATTAGTTACTGCTTATTTTCAACGTTTTTATTGATCATCCTAGTATGAAGCAAGCACAATTCCTGCTGCCTGTCAATATCTGCTTATCCATGATCAGATATTGAAGAGGCAGTGCGGTGGATACACTCATAAGATGTTTATTCTTTGCAGTGTTTGCAGCTATTATTCAGGTAATTCTTTAGACATCTTTCTGACCCAGTCAGTTGGAGATCCAAAGTCCAGATCGATCAAAACTCTTTATAAGCATGTGGGTTTTACTTGTCTAAACTGTGCAATATCTTTGATAATGTAACTGCTTCAATCATTAATTGGTTTTACATTTTTTGGTGTAGGTGGTGTCATTGCATACATCAGCTCCTCCAGCTCAGCCTCTAGCCCTTCCTCCTGCCACAGCGAGAGCTCCAATAGCAGTTTCCAGTCTTCGTCCTCTCTGCCATCTTCCCCCAGCAGCTCTGCCTCTGAGGGGAGTAGCAGTGGCAGCAGTGGCAATGGGAACACCAAAAGAAGTGACCTTTCCAGTGGAAACCTCCTCTCCAACCTGGAGGAATCTCAGAGGAACCAACAGGTGGACACACTGTGCATAAAGACCACCTACACAAGTGCAGCAATCCTGACCAAAGGCCATGGAGGCCTCACCTCAAGTGAGTAATGAGTATTTTGAAATTAAACGTTTGCAGTTAGTAAACCTGATGATGGATGGCATTTAACTTGAACTTCAAGAAGTATTAAATAATAAGTTCACCTTTTGCACAAAAATAATTAACATTTTGTTGCAGGTAAAAAAAATGTGCATTTATTATTTTTGTCCAAGGGAGCCTGGAAAGCATTGCACCAGTGATTAGTAGATTTCTGATGCCATGCAGGACTCCTGCAGACCTGTCAGAATATCTGCTTGCCGTATGGGATGTACGAGCAAGCAGATATTCTGACAGGAAGCTCCACAGCGCCGTGGTAGTTATTTGAAAACTCTTCGCTCCTCACAAGACCTCCTACTCTCTAGCTCCCTAGTCTCCTCCTCCCATGCCTGACTCCAGGACTTCTCCAGGACTTCCCCCATCCTCTGGAACTCACTACCCCAATCCATCAGACTGTCACCTACCCTCCTCACCTTTAGGCGCACCCTGAAAACCCATCTCTTCAGGGAAGCCTACCCCGCCCTCACCTGACAGCCGATCTCCTCCTACCACTCCATCCCCCACAGCCACTTCCTCCTGTAACACTACCCCTCTCTCCTAGATTGTAAGCTCCAAAGAGCAGGGCCCTCGAACCCCTCATGTATTGTATTTTTACTGTATTGTCTCATGTACTGTCCCCCGCTACAATGTACAGTGCTGAGCAAACTTTTTGGCGCTATATAAACACTGTATAATAATAAAACTGCAAGCTGACAACCGCTAAGGCTGCCTGGACTTGTAGCTTGGCCGCACTGTTTTCAAATCTGATGTATAGTACGGGGAGAAGCCTCCCCGTACTGTCGGGGGGAGGGCGCTGCACGGCTGCAGCTATTGGAGCATGTTGCGTATTCCACCCTAAAAACAGGTGGACCATGTAACATGTTCCCAAATGTGAACGTATCCTTTAAACCAAAAATATAATATATTGCAGCTTAGCAATCATTAGATATGATTTCTGCATTAGTTTTCTTTTTTAGGCTTCTCTACCTCTGCTTTCACTTGGTGATTTGGTCAGTAACACACCTTCTGGTTTAGAGTGCCCCCACTCCGGATGAATGAGCTTAGGGGGCACCTTTGAACAGGTGCATTGTCAGTCTGTGGGAGTGTTAGATGGATGAGCAGATTTAGTTACAGCTACAAATTGAACCAAACTCTAGTTCACACTTTATAAGCAGTTACAGCAATAGTTTTTTCCTTTCGGCATACAGATTTTACTTGAATATATAAAAGCTGATCATTGTAAGCGCCCGTCAGTGGTAAATGGTTTGTCTCAAGCCTATAACTGCTACATCTGCAAGGGAAAACTAAAGCAGCCAGCACATCTAAGAATTGGCAAGCTACAATATCATTAATGTTTGCTTTTGGGTATATTACCACTTTCAGGCATGCAGCTAAATACATAGTTGAAATTCATATTTATGAACAGATGTACAATTGTAACTTTGTTCAGCCAGTCTTACAATCTAGACGCTCTTATGCTTCCTGAGACCTGTCTGCAGACTATACTATAGTTGAGCAATACAGCTGTCTATACAGCTCACCCAGGCCTGTGACTAGATCGTGAAGGAGCAGCAGCACACTGAGAGACTCATCCCTCTGCTCTCTGCTAGCACCATGTTCTATAAGATCCATAGAAAATATAAAAACTTACTTGTGCCCCTTTATGAGACAGGTACTCGTTACTTGTGAAGCGCAGTTGTACCATAGAGAAGAAATATATGTGACATTCACACATACGTAAGATACTTTCTATTAGGTAAAATAGTATGCAGTAAATCAGTGGTCTCCAAACTATGGGCTAAATGTGGCCCTTTTCTTGCCTTTATTTGGCCCTTGGGGTACTATACCTCCAATTGATACAAGACACTGTTCCTCCTACTGATATGTTGGGGCATAATGACTCCTATTGACACCAATGATGGGGCACTATTACCCCCCACTGACACCAATGACTGGGCACCAATGATGGGGCACTATTCCCCCCCCCCCCCCCCCCCCCACTGACACCAATGACTGGGGCACTATCCCCCCCCCGACACCAATGACTGACTGGGCACTACACTATTCCCCCGTCCCACTGACCCCAGTGATGGGGCACTATTCCCCCCTCCCACTGACACCACTGATGGGGTATCATTTCCCCCCCCATTAACATTAATGATGGGGAACTCCCACTGACCACCAGGCCTGAGGCCCCCCCCCCCCCCTCCACTGACACCCCAATGTATCACACAAAAAAGGGGCACTGTCATGTTTATTCCCGAACAAATATAAAACAGAGGCCCACACCCCCCCCAAAAGTATTCCACTGCACACCATAATGAAATCAGTCGCTTCCTATAACCATCAATAAGGGACACCTCTCACTGGACCACTCTTCCTTTGCAAACCCCCCCCACCTTTTCCCAACCAATTTTAAGATCTCCACAGGTGTTCCATGGGATTTGATGGGCTCATTGGGCCACTTCAGAACTCTCCAGCGCCCCCCCCTGAGTGCCCCCTTGGAAGACCCCCTGACGCAAACCAGCTTTCTGACACTGGGATGCGGGCAGACATGATGCCTTGCACCCCCCTGCCAGAGGCAGCAAAACAACCCCCACATTGACACCACCGTAGGTACTGTGTTTTGTTCTTTGGGGCCTCACTTTTAAACAGTAGAATGATGTGCCCCCCTATCTTGGTCCACTGTCCACAGACGTTTTCCCAATGGCTTACTCAAGTACATTTTGGGTATCATGTTCTGTGTCCCCCCTGGGTCTCCTTAACATTAAATGTCGACGGATAGTTCGGGACACTGATGCTCCCTGAGCCTGCTGACAGCATGTCTTTGGAACATGTTTGGGGCTGCTTATCCCCCCTGAGGCACTATTGCTACTCCACGACCCCACTGGCAAACCAAATGTTCCAGGACCCCCTGAACTTGTCTGAATTGTTGGACATTTTGGTATCAGACTCGTCTCCCCTATCTTTTAAAAAGTTAATACGTCTCTCCTTTTTATGCATTATTTCTTACCTTTTTATTTAAGATTTTAATATGCTTTTGTATAACTATGTCTGACTCCGATGTAATTTTTATATTTTAGAATTCAATGGGTCTGACTCCGATGTAATTTTTATATTTTAGAATTCAATGGGATGATACTTCTGTGTAAGGTGTGTGGAGATGTAGCCTCCGGATTTCACTATGGAGTCCACGCCTGTGAGGGATGTAAGGTAAAGATTTGCTCTTTCTCATACCAACTTCTATTCATATTACGTGAGACTTAAGATTTGTTAAAAAAAATCTCCCCTTCCACAAGATCCTCCAGATCTATAGATATTTTACAAAAGGAGAGTTTAAATGTTTTGGTTTTTTTTAAGAAGGATCTGTTTCTGTTATTCTCTGGTCCATTCTTTATCCAGAACTGCTCATGTGTTTCACATATGCAGCTGAAATGTATAGGCTTTTATCCAGCTGCTATATAATCCAACAATTCACACAGCTGGTTTGGCCTATAAATTGTCATTTAGTAAAAAAAATAGCGAAAGCAGTGTATGGTTTGTGTCTGCTTCTGTGTCATACACAGTTGGTCTCAACACTATTCCTTGAGAATTTATATTTACATCTCTGACACACTGCAAGGCTTTGTTCTCGCTGCTGCGACTCCAGATTTGTGTGATATTGCATTTTGATTTGTTTGCGGCTTTGGTGTGACTTTCATACGACTGATGGTTTGCGACTTTCGCCAGTCATAACAATACAGAGTGTGACACATATTATCGAACTTCCAAAATCCTTTGAAGTCACAGCCAAGGTTGCAAAGATAAGACAAATTATTTCCGTGCAAGGTATGTGATTTTTAACATTGCAGTCTTCAGCACTCATGTTGCAAGGAAGTGTCAAAAAAGTAATGCAGAAACAATTTTTTTTTGTTGTTGCGACTTGAGTCACAGCTGTTAAGATGGCACCCATTGATATGAAGGTGTTTTGAATTGTTATGCAATATTTTGTGTCGCACGTCATGGGAGTCACATGAGTAGTCACAGCAGTGTGAACCAGGGCTAAATATCTCTACAGTTTTTGGGGCAAAAAAATTTTTTTTAGTAATTCAAGAACAGTTTGAAAACTTTCCTGTGATACCTGTGTACTAATGCTTTGAACCTGGTGACGTTGGAGAAATGATACTGCTGTAAAAACTTGACACAATACATTAAAGATGTGATATCTGTAAAGATATCAGTTAAGAGGTAGAATACATGGCCACTGGGTTATAAAGAATTAGGATTTAAAGCTTGTTTCCATTTTCAGCTGGAGGCAGCTAAAATAGGAGGTTAAGCCGTGGTTTTACTGAACCCTGACTACCCTTCTTAACCCAACGCAGTGGCCTGAGGTGGTTGTGCACATGCCATGGCAAAAAAATTATACCCTGCTATCAAATAAATTGGTCTGTGACTCAACCCTGCAGTTTTGGTTGCAGCACTGGTCTCTCTTTCTGGTCTCACAGGACAGAATGAGCACAGCGGGAGCCTTTGGCTCCTGCTGATGTCAATCAAGTCCAGTGAGGAGGGGACGGGGCCGAGCCATGATGTGTGTGTCTATAGACACACACAGCCTGGCTCAGGAGTGCCCCCGTACGTGTGCTCCCATAGCAAACCACTTGGCACAAACAAAAGAGAAGGAGCAAACACTGTCAAGGGACCCCCAGAAGAGACGGCGAGGGTCCGCTTTGTGCAATATCCTTGCACTGAGCAGGTAAGTATAAACCTCTTTTTTAACAGAAAACAAAATTAGCCTTTACAATCGCCTTAATGTTCCAACTAGGCATAATTGATGAGCATTACAAATATGACCTTTGAAAAAAAAAGTTAAAACAAGAATGCATTCTTTCAGCTTTATGCAATTAATACTTTTAATAGTAGCATTTCATATATAAATTCCTTTTTATGTTTTATTTTCTTTGAGTATTTTTCTGTACAGTTTGTATGCAGATCAAGCTGTCCAAAAAAATTTCCTATATAAAAAAAAGTGCATATACAGAATGCCAACATTACCTGTGTTAATGGCATACGGTTGTTTTAGAATGCAAGATCTGAAATTATTTTAAGGGTTCCTCTGGAGTAAGATATTTGAGAAAGGCCGTTATAAACTCTAGTGGTGATTCAAAATTCAAATGGTAAACTAAAGTTGTGAGGAATCTGGTAAATATTTTGATGTGGTGGTGATAGAGCATTATTACCTTCATGATTGGCATTTGGATCAGTCACTTCAGTGCAGAATACTATTAATTATATTTAGATTTATTATAATAGAGGTTTAAGATTTTTATTTTCTTTAATTTATCCTGTTCGCTCCCAGATTTTTTTTTGCCAGATAATTCTGCATGCTGACTCCGTTACAATAAATGGCACACATACATGCACACGGATATATTTATATATCTATTGGTTAAGGGGTTATTGTGTGTTCATAGGGTTTTTTCAGAAGAAGCATACAACAAAACATCCAGTACAAAAAGTGCCTCAAGAATCAGAGCTGTTCTATCATGAGGATGAACCGAAATCGCTGCCAGCAATGCCGCTTCAAGAAATGTTTGTCTGTCGGCATGTCCAGGGATGGTATGTGAAATGCCTTACACATTTATCATTGCTGGAAGTAAACTGGCCAATGAGCATGTGGGCTGAGATTTTCACAAGGGTTAACTGTGTCTGTGTTCTTTCATTTACATTCTCGGTAAAAGCAGCTATAGGTTAAAAAGCAGTTTATTCCAACAGTAAATACACAATCTTTTTTTTTTTTTTTTTTTTTTCTTTCTTTAAAAAAAAAAAAAAAAACAAAACTGGTCACTTTGCCCATTAAGATCAAAGTGACAGGTTCTCTTGATAGCTCACTTTGCTCTTCCTCCTCCACTCGCACTGATATTCCCTGAGCTCCCCATCACCTTGTTAGCCTGCTGGAGCCCTATGTCTAATCCCTGGGTAAGCTCCGTGTTGGAAGGTCTTCTGACCTTCTCCCTTCTACAGCTTGATATGTTCGTGTCTGGCAGTTGGCCAAAGATCACTGCATCCTGGTAAGAAAGGGAGAAGGTCATATGCTCCATCATACACAAATATTCCGGTTATTTTCAAGGCTTCCCACAGGTGAATGGAGCAGAGGGGCAGCTCAGCAAATATCATATGTTTTTTAGGGCCTGTTGGGCTTGTGTTGATGGCATTAGCTCGATACACTTCTGAGATCAGTCAGAATTCACTGACAGATGAATTTGACCTGTTTCTGACCTGCTTCAAATGGGTTTTGCATGCCTATTGACTTGTATAGGAGTGCAAGACTCACTTGAACCAAACAAAAGTGGACAAAGTGACAAGTTTTATTTTTTAAGACTTTTAAAGAGGCTGCATTCACACTTGAGCAATGTTTAGCTTGAAGCTCCGAAAATGCTCAAACTTAACCCCTTCACACCGGCGGCTCCTGGCCCTTTAAAGGGTTTCAGACGCCAGGAGGCAGGGCAGGGTTTTAGGGTCATGTGACCGCTGTGATTCGCTGTCACGGTGGTCACATGATCGAATTCCGTGATACACCGACATATGTGCTGGGAGCGCTCAGGGTGCACGCTCTCTGCACATGTGTTTTCAAATGGTACACAAATATGCAGCCGCTCTACGTCAAGGCCCAGCCACTGAGAGACCGCATATTTGCGTACGCTCGGCATCAAGGGGTTACAAAAAAATCAATTGCTTTTTATGGTACCTATTCGCAGGATCAGGTGTGAGCAGGCACCATAAAGAACAATTGATTTTTTTAAGTTTGAGCGTTTTTGGAGCTTCAAGCTACAAATCAGTCAAGTGTGAATGCAGCCTAAGGGCTCTAACACAGAAATAAGGATCCTTATATCAACCATGTGACTGTTATTTTCAATTCTTATTGATCTCACATTAGGTTGCTTTCACACTGGTCAGCTTCTGATGCACTTTGGATGCCTTCCCATTGACTGAGGGCCCTTTCAGTTAAAAAAAAAAAACAAACAAAAAAAGGTGAAAGAAAAGTGGGAGAAAATGCATCCATTTTAAATCCAATGTTGCGTTTCAGTTGTGTTTTTAAAAGTCCTGCTTGCTGCCTTTTTGGTGCATGTTTGGTGCACGTTTAAATAGCACTTTCTGATCATTTTTTGATGTGCTTTTGTTCAGGTGTAAAGAGTTCCATTTAAAGGGATGCATTTTTCTTCCGCTTTTTTTTAAACTGAAGAACTGAACAATAAGTGATTATTGTGAAAACAGCCTTAAAGTGACTGTAAACCTTAGACATGATAAATGAACAAAGCATATCCCAACATAATGTGTATGTGTCTCAATTAACAGCACTAAATGTTATTTCTGTCTGCTGCTTCATTCCTCTGCTATCAGCATGAATCACTTCTGACAAGTTTTCCTGATACCAAGAGAAAAATGGCGACGGGAGGGACCTCCAGTAGATTAACAGCCTCAGCTCTATTCCTGTGTGCTGTATGGAGGAGCTTGTGTCTCTTCCTTCCAATCCGCTATCAGAGCTCTCCTCACTGAGCTCTGCAAAGTGTAATTTCAGCTCTCTGCCCCCTTTTTTCTGAACTCTCAGACAACCTTTTAAATTCAGCACTTTGAACGGATGTAGAGAAGAGATGGCTGCTAATAAACAAGTTCAACTTATGTAGGAGGATTTGTTTAATTTCTGTATCACCTTAGGCCTTTCACTTCACTGGATATATGTAAGAGTTTACAACCACTTTAAAATATGTCCCTTTTTTTAAAATAAGTATCTTTATCCTGGTATGTTAGTTTTTTAATGAAGCTTAAAGACTTAAAATGAATGAAGCTGGATAACGGTGACTAAGGATTTAGAGAATGTCCCTCCCCTTGATCATGCTGGTTGCAGCTGAACTAGTGCCTACAGACATAAAAGAGCATTCACTTAAGCCAGCCGGTTACAGTTGGACTGGGCAATAATCAAATGTGTGTAAGCTATGCCTGACCCTCATAGACAAGACCAGGCCAAGCTTTCTCATGGAGTAATGACATCATCTGAAATTTGATGTTATTGGTCAGGAGTTTTTTTTTTTTTTGTTTTTTTTTCCACCTTGATATGTCATTGCCCAAGTGTTCCCCTTTGTCTTCTCTATAGGCCAGACATTTGCATTGACCCCTGAGCATGTACATATTTGTAGACTGAAAAGATTGGGCAGTCTGAATATTTGCCAACTAACAATTGGGGTCCATAGGCATCCTTAAAGGTAGCACTTAGTTAAAAAATAGTTGTAACTAGTGGTGCCTTTTGTCTCTGTAGAAATATATTAACCTTTAAACACTCTTGTCAATCAATTATAAAAGTTCTGGTTTAATGTAGAAGATATATGGTTTAATGTAGAAGGTCCCCACGTAATCTCATATACACAATACAGAAATTGTTTTGCTGTATGCCAGAAATAGATGCCATTCTGTTAAATGGGATTTGTTATTTATGTTTTCTTTAATACATTACCATGTTGAATGCATGTGCTTGAACAATCCCTGGTATCCACTGTCCAAATCTGCTATAGGCGACCTCCTCTCTCCAACAGCATGAAATGTTCTAAAGCTAATACACATTTATTTTACATAGTTCTATTAAGGGGGACCTTTATTTAACAAAGGAGAAAATAAGATGGGGAACAGAAGAATTGTTGCCCGCATCATCCAGTCAGGTGTCTTGTTTAATTGCCTGGGAAAATTAGAATAAGGAATTTGATTGGTTATTATTGGCAACGTCTCCACTTATGTTCCTTTTTGCTTTCTTCAGGTTGTTCATTAATAGCCCCTCTTACGTTTTTCCTATTGTCCTTGAGAACGTCTCTGATGTGTAATTTTTAAAGCCAGATTTTATAGTGGTTCCTTAATTGGTTGTCAGAAATGTTATTGAATTAAGTTAATCTGTCCTTCATTTCTCTTCTCACTTTGTCCTCCTTTGGCAGCTGTTCGTTTTGGTCGCATTCCAAAGCGTGAAAAAACAAAGAATGCTGATGGAAATGCAGTCTGCCATGAAGACTATGATGAACAGTCAGTTTGGTAGCTCAGGACCTCAAGAAGCACTGCCAGATTACCAAGCTTCACCATCGGTTTTGCCACCTGTGCCCCATCCTGTTCAAGAAAACATAGAGAGCAAGGCTCAGCAATATACAGAAAAAAGCCTCATGCCACCTTCATCTTCACTTCATTTAGCTCCTCCATCTTCAGACATTAGTAAAGAGGACGTCATTGGTACAGTAACTAGAGCTCACAGAGAGACCTTCATGTACAATCAGGAGACGTCTGAATTTAAAGGGAACACCAGCCAACAGAGGCAGGAAAGGATGAATAAAGTGAAATACAGAATCAGTAACAATATTCACTTCAATAATGTTGTCAACGTTGCTCGCTGTCCTGTTGGTGAAAGTCAGAACTACATGAATGGACAACATAGGGGCAAAAACAACATGGGTTGTCCCTATGCCCATGCTGTTTTCTACCCCAATGAACAGAACATAAACATTTCCAATGGCTATTCCCACAAGGAGTTCAGTAAAACACCTACAATTGATGTATCTCAGGCAGAGCACATGAATGGCTATCCCTGCAATAGAGGAAGGAGAATATATTTGGTAAAAACATTTTTGGTTTACCTATTGCTTAGAAGTACTCACAGACATGGGTTTCCACTGTGAAAATATTGCACACACAACTCAAAAAATACTAATTAGTGCTTGACTTATGAACCATTTTTGGTGTTAACCTGGCTGGTTCTGGGCTTGTTTTGGCTTTAATATAGAGAACAAATTGAAAATGGGCAAATGTTAGAGTCCAGCAGGTTCAAATTTCTGTTACCAGACATTTATCCAATGTCTGTGGGTACTTTTAATTTCTGATGTGTTCCTGCATCCCTTGTATTAAAGGTAGTCTCCAGAAGCAGTAAAGTGTTAAAGCTGATCATGTTTTCATTTAACTTTTAAATTTGATCTGCAACATGCACAGTATGAACTGTATGTGGCCTCGGCTTCATACAGTATATAGTACTGTGTTTCGGCAGCAGTATGAGATCTTCCTGTCCCACTCCTGGAGCAAAATGGAGTCAGGCTGAGCGGTGTACAGCCTTTCACAGGGAGATTTGCATTCTAGTAATGAATCCGAAGCTTTCTGATTGACGGAGGCAGAGAAGCGGTTTGATTACATCACAAACAAGTCATTGCAACTGTTAGTGACTGTCTCTCAGGGTTGGAGATAGAGTTTTCAGTAATGTGTAAGCCCTCAATAGAGGGGTATATAACTTACATAGGCCTTCCTTTCGTCACCCCCAGTCACTGAATGGATCTGTAGGAGGCGTAAAGGAAAGGGAAATGTTCTGCTGAGAAGGGGGAATTAAAGCAAATTTGTTGCTTTGTTGGGCTTGGGCAAAGTATATGTTTGCTTTAAAGTGGTTCTAAAGCCTAACCATTTTTTACCTTTAATGTAAGGAATGCATTAGGTAAAAGTACCACCCACCCCCCAATATTTACATGAGTCCTCACTCGATCCAGCGCTGTACCTGGCTGCAGCTGTTCTCTCCTTTCACTTCCCAGTTTCACAGGCTTTGCTGAGGCAGCAGGAGCCATTGGCTCCCAATACTGTTAGTCAAATCTTGTGACTAGGGAGCAGGGGATGGGGCCGAGCCAGGCTGTCTGTGTCTATGGACACAGGCAGCATGGCTCGGGATCGAGTCTGCAAGTGTAAAGCGGCTTCCTATGGTGGCACACCAAGAAGAGGAGGGACCCAAGAAGAAGATGTTTCGGGCCCCCCACTGTGCAAGTGTTTACCTGTTTGTTATTTTAAAAATCCCTTTGAATCAAAAAGTCCACTCTCTTTACTATATTATGAGTTTTGTATATATTCCTTTGCAGACAGATTATAGACAACTGCCTATGTGTGGAGTAAAGATTTCAGCCTCTTAAAGCCTGTACTGTGCCTCCTTTTTGCTCAATAGTCACAAGGGAGATAAATCTTAGTGTGAACCTAATGCCTTTATAAACCCAGTTATTTCTTCCAAACACTTACCTGAGCCTGTCAGGGATCCGACGCTGTGCCAAGCTGTAGTCTTCTTTCCCGTCTCTTCCTCTTCTTACTGGGACTGGGGCAGCAGCAGGGGCCATTGGCATCTACTATTGTCAATCAAATTCTGTGAGGAAGGACCATGGGCAGGGCCAAACCATGAGTGTGTGTCTGTGGAGCATGGCTCCACAGACACACACAGCTCAGGAGCAAGTACACACGTGTGCCCCCATAGCAAGCAGCTTGCTATGGGGGCACACAAAGAAGAGGAGGAGCCTGGAGCCATGGCGGGGGATCCCAGAGGAGGATGTTTAGGGCTGCTCTGTGCAAAACCATTGCACAGAGCAGATAAGTATAACCTGTTTATTATTTTAATAACAAATAATCTAGACTTTACAATCCCTTTAATACAGGAAGCCTCTAGACAGAGGCAAAGGTAATATACACATGCATCTTGTATTTAGACAATGTTAGACAAGTTCAGCTTTAAAGCCAAAGGCTATTAAATAAATCTTTTGGGCATATAGCATCAGTGTATTAGTGTACCTCTAATGAAGCATATCCTAGGTGCTGCTAGATGATGATAGACTATAAACTCTTCTCTCGGTGATTCCAGATACTGGTGATCTGGCACTGCAGGGATAAGAGGATGGGACTATGAAGGATCGCTCTGTTTGCCCTTCCTTTCCTGTTATCTTAGCCATTCACTAAACTCATAGTATGATTTTCCCAGAATGCAAGGTGTGTGTTTTTTTTTTTTTTTTTTTTTTAATACCATTTGTTTTGCTGGTTATATTTAAGTGCATTGTCAGAGGGTATCTTTGAATTTAAATCCGACAATATACAGAGTTTAGATTGCCAGTGCTTGTATACTTACCTCGTTTTACACTTTGCAGGTTTGTCCAATGAGCATGTCTCCCTTTATGGACCCAAATAAATCTGGACCTCAAATCTGGGAAGAATTCTCCATGAGTTTTACCCCGGCTGTGAAAGAAGTGGTGGAATTTGCCAAGCGCATTCCCGGATTTAAGGACCTTTCACAGTATGATCAGGTCAACTTGCTGAAAGCTGGAACGTTTGAGGTGAGATTTGTTGTGCCAAGTTGAGGCTTGAAAGCATATTGAAACTCATCAGACACACCACATATGCTTTTTTTTTTTTTTTTCTGATAAATCTTTGCCCGGAACAATGCAGCAACTTAATATTGACACACAGTCAGCACGTTTGAATACAGGAGGAAAGAAAATAAAGGTGCGGCTAGGGGAATGCCCCTGTTAGCACTGTCTGTCTTGATGGGGGAATTGTGCAGTTTTCTTTCCTGCAACCTGTGCTTACATATTGTGTTAGCCAGCTGTAGTTCACGTGGAGATATTAACAATCTCCTAACATTTCCGGTGGTTAACACTATGGGGTCTATTTATACAAAAAAATTGTTGCAAGTATCTGTGCATTCCCACTACTGCAGAAATAATCCTTGTAATAGGTCTAATATTTTTATTTCCTATGATTGTCTGCTCTAGTCGCCATAATGCCATATTTTCCTGAAATACCTCAATCTAGAAAATACCACATTATGGCCCCTGGATGGCACTGACACTCGTAGGAAATAAACATATTAAACATTACAGGGATTATTCATGATGGTTGTACAAATGCTCAGACAGCCATACTTTGAGATTCCTTTGAATAGACACCTGTCATTTCCAGATTGCTGAGACAGAATCAAAAGGCAACAGAGATTCAGTTTAAGTATTATTTAAGATCAACAGCATTAGGAAAGAGATGAATCGTGTTTTGTACTTTTCTGTAACAGTAATTAAAGGTCCCTTTCTTATATAAAGTTGCAATACTACTATTTCGTCTCTTCTTTTGCCAGGTTTTAATGGTTCGGTTTGCATCACTGTTTGATGCGAAGGAGCGTACTGTCACCTTTCTAAGTGGGAAGAAGTACAGTGTGGATGAGCTGCGCTCTATGGGAGCTGGCGAGCTGCTGAACTCTGTGTTTGAATTCAGCGAGAAGCTTAAAGCACTGCATCTTAGTGAGGAGGAGATGAGTTTGTTTACTGCAGTTGTTCTCGTCTCTGCAGGTAAGCGAGAAGTACTCTCAGGGAGAAGTACTCTATTGTTTCTCATGTCAGCCATTCTTTGTAAACACGGTGACCTTGAACCCACACCACAAAAGGGAAAAAGTATTTATTTATAATGTTTTTTTATATCTATACAAAAATGTTTTGTCTTTCATTTTTATTTTAAACTGAATGGGTTGTTTTTATAAGGTGAGGGTATGCTTAAAGTCATTAGAATGGTGCAATCTTAGTTCTCAGTTATTAGCGTATGTATGTTCTCTTCTATAGTTGTCATGCCGTGTCAAACTGTAAACCTGGCCATAGACTGCTTGAATTTCATCCCGTTCCTTATGAAATTTTGCTCAGTGGGTGGCCCTGTCAGCCACCTCCTGCCCAAAAATCCCCCTATTGAAAAATCAAAGCAGCTGATAGGAATTTTGTCGGTCAAACCACATCTACAACTAGATGCAGGCACTGTTTCAGTGTATTGACAGCTGGTGGGGCTGGCTGTGAAAATACCATAGTGGTAGCAGAAGATTTTTCCATCTACACAAGGCCCCGTATAGAGGCAGAGCTGTCTCCTGCCCAAGCTCAGGGTTGATTACTGACACTCTGGATTGAGGGTGTAACTTGCAATTAACATAGCCTTTTAGTTTTCTTGTATTCCTTACAGCACCTTTTGTTATGTGAAAGTTAGAAATCTTAAAATTGAGTGCAGGCAGGATTTAGAACCATATCAGCTCATATATGTGACATGTCATTTGACTGACCTTGGTCATGGGTATGAAGCATTTTGTTCATAGAAGCCTCCCTGGCGGTATTCCTGAGTGTAGCTTGGGGTAAAGTTTCAATACCACAAGCGGTAACCCTGAGCTACACTCGGGAATACCATGCGGCGCTGCTCCGCGATCCCTCAATCACTTACCTTGTCCTGCACTCCTGCGATGTCCCTCCTGCAGTGTCCCTTGTAATGTCCTGCGGCGGATGCCGGTATCTGTCATCTGGGTTCCGTCCCCTGCGAGCGTCGGGACATACGGGGATGGAGCTGGCGGGAAATTTGAAAATGACAAAAAGTGACATTCACTAAATACACTTTTTCTCCCATCCCCTACATCTCTTCCAACATTCTTCTAAATCTTTGTTTCAGTACTGCTTAGACCTGAAGAAGGGGACATTCCCTGAAAGCTTGTCCTCTAAATTGTATGTTAGTGCAAATAAAAAAAGTATCACGGACAGTGCTCAATTGTTCCTGTACTAAATACACTAAAATCACATAGTAAAACATTACTGTATCAAACCATTTCACATACATTTTGTCCCTAGTGCTTTGTCCTGTGCCCTGCCTACATTTTTACCGTTCTTTCTGCCTGGAAACTGAGAAATGTCCATGGCGTCCAAAAAGCTTCCCTTTTAGGTCAAAATCTGTTTTAGAACAGCTAGAGAACAGTGATAGTAAATTAGAACCACTTGCAGAATTGAGTGTTAATAATTTGTGGGGAAATTCGTCATCAGACACTGAAAACGATTCTGCGACTTTGCTCAGTGATGTGCGAACTTGGCGCTATATTTCAAATTTCAGTGTTTTTGGTTTGATTATATTATTGAATTAAATTTATTATTTTTTATGATTAAATTATAATTTATAATTTTGTGTTTCAAAATTTTAACATACCCGGGATGTTTACTAGACTCTTGTTCGGACAGATTTCAGTGAATTATTTTTAAAAATTACAGGCCCACAATAAAAAAAATACATATTTCCATTGAAAATAATGTACCGCTTTGAGCACAGAAATATGGACATAATCAGACCGCTAGGGAGGTTAAATTCTGGTTTGTAATTTAATTTGCTTTAATGCTTTAAAATATGTATAGATATTTTAAATTCATTTTAAATTGATTAAGATATATTTGTCATCTCTCTACAGATCGCTCTGGTATTGAAAATGTAAACTCTGTTGAAGCTTTGCAAGAGACTCTGATCCGAGCCCTGAGGACTTTAATCATGAAAAACCATCCTAATGAGGCCTCCACCTTTACCAGACTCCTCCTGAAGTTAGCGGACCTCCGTTCTCTAAATAACATGCACTCAGAGGAGCTTCTGGCTTTCAAGATTCACCCATAGGCCTATAAAAAACTATTGTGTGTAATGTCTACTGTATATTGCGTGACAGATAAGGTGTTTCTACTGGTATTTCTGGCACAAACTAATTATGAGTAGTTGTTTTAAGTGTGCCGTTGCTGCCTTCCATTTTGTGGGTTTATCTTATATTCATGAAACTGTAGCCCCAATATGATGTAAACAGTTGGGTGGCTTCATTGTCATGAATGTTGCCTTAGTCCACAAAATGGAGAGTTGTTTGCAGGGAACTGGTGCAATGCAGTCAGGGGTTTACTTAGACTTTCAGATGCCTGAGATTAAAAAACAAAACTATCCTTTCCATTCCTCATTCAAACTACTATACACAATATCAGTTGTGTGCACTATTAGGTTCGAAGACATGCAGACATAACGAATAACACTAATTGAAAGTTCTGCACAAAAAAGTGTTTTTTTGTTTTTCATGAATTTCCTTTATTGTTTACCGCCCCTCCCCCCACCCCCAAAAGAAAAAACCCATGTACTACAGCCAAGTAGCATTTTGCACAAAATATTCAAGCTCCACATTTCTTTGGTGTGCAGCGCATTGTTGTTGAGCACAAATCAAATGGTTAGGAGACTCTGTAAGATACAGCGTAATATAATGGTTTTACATCACCAAAAAGGTTAGACGTAAGGTGCAATTCACAATGCTAACACACAATGATAAGGAGACAAATTTTTTCAAAAGTGACAGCTATTTTTAGTTAAAGTGGTTGTAAACCCCTACCTATACCCAATGAAGTGACTGGCCTCAGGTGATACACAGAGATGAAACAAATCCTCCTGTCTGAAGTACTCTCTTCTTCACAGCTGTTCAAAGTCCAGAATTTATACAGCTTGTCTGAGAGTTCAGAAAAAAGGGGCAGGGAGCTAAAGTTACATTTTGCAGAGCTCTGAGAGAGCTGATTGGAGGGAAGGGCACCTCCCCCCCCCCCCCCTTTCACATAGCACACAGGAACAAAGCTGAGTCTTTCACTCTGTTGGAGCCACCCCCCCCTTTTCTCTTGGTGTTAGGAAAACTTGTCTGAAGTGGTTCATCCTGATATAGCAGAAGCAGCATACAGAAATGACACTTAGCACTCTGGACTGAGACAAGTACACACTATTGAGGGGTATGGTTTGTTCATATTTGAGGTTTACAACCACTTTAAGTCCAATACAATTTGAAAATACTTGGCTAAAATAAAGATCCTTATCCTTGTGCTAAAGATTTGTTAATTGAGCCCCTAGTCTTCGATATCTTATACGCTATGACAAGGTAGCTATGTAGTACACTCTCAGTATGTGCTATATAAGTGTGTGTGAAGTAGATATGTAGACACTGGTCACTTAGAAGAAGCACGTATCTCATTATCATTTCTTAATGCTTTTTGAAATCGATATGTGCCTCTGCCAAGATCTGAATTGTCTGTCACACAGATTCTTAGCGTGCATGTGAGTGTATTTTCTCTTTTTTGTTTCTGTATTTATGTGTACATGATATCATGTTTTACTAACACGTCAAGTGTTTAGAGACTGTAAATATTCCTAGTTAGAGCATTACAGAAAACAAAAATATATACCAGCTTCCTCACAATATTTTAACCTGTGAAGGGAGTTGAAACAGATAGTATAAAAGATTTATAATATGTATACATTACCCAGAGCTATTGGTAAATTTACTAATGGATTATATTTTTGAAAAGTATAAAAAAAAAAAAAAGACTTATGCTGCAAACATTTGTTACATTTGAAGCCTCCCACCATGGAACTGGCTCATTTCTAGTCAAACTTTGTGACTGTAAATGTATTTAAAACATAAAAATGAACTGTTGGGCAGGTGACAGCTATGGTAAGTCCAGGCGAAAACAACAGTAATGCCCTGGCGTAGCACTACTTTGAGATGTGCAGAATTTTTTTTTTTTTTTAAAGATTTTTTTTTTTTTATTTTATATATATTTTTTTTTTTTTTTTAACAATAGAGCTACATGTATGAAATGTAAAGAGAGACAGAATGGAGGTGTTCTTCATAGCAAGTAATCTTGTTGCTTATCTAGTACAGGCTACAGATAGAATTAAAGGATGTCTAAATCCAAGAAGAAACATTTAATCTATTGCAGTTTACCATTTTGTGGATGTGGTGGGTATGTTCATTTTCTTTTTTTCATTTTCAGCAAGTACAGAAAATGCCCTGCTGATGTTGCTAGAGATGCAGTTTCCTTGTTATTTCCTGTGAGATGAAATAAAAGTACAAAATGGTATCTTCACTCTGTATACAACTAATCTCCCTAGCCAACACGTTCTATAGATGATGTAAGAAAGACATACTTGAAGTCCATCCTGGGTGACAACCACGAATCTGTCCATAGATACAGTGGAAGGAGAAAGTGTAGCCAACAAGGGACTGAAAGTGTGTTATTGGCAGCATTACCAGTTGAAAATAAAAGAAAATTAAAGCCTGAAAAAACTAATACAGCCACTGCTAAGGACTGGTAAGCTGCGGTGTATATATAATGTTTTGGGTTTAGATACACTTTAAACATTTGATTGCTATGGACCACAGGCTTCATTTCCACATTTTTTATACATGAGGCACCCAGTGTGTCAGGTTTCCAAATGGAGTAGATAAGGTATGCGCTTTACATCTGGAAACAGGAAAAAGATTGAATCACTGTGCTTACCTTAAATTGGGGTTGGCCTTTTTTTGAAGATCTGACCCTTCCATATGTATATTATTGCTTTGCTGATAAATAAGAACAAGCAAAAAAAACCATCATGCAAAATTAGTAAGACATGAGGTTTTATGCAACCAAGAAGTAATAATTAGGCTAGAGTTACATGCATGACTTTTAGTAAATCAGTCTACCTATTAAAATCACTAGTGATTGATTGCTATGAGTAGTAGCTAAACAGATGGAACAAATGGTTCCCAATGGTGAAAGTTACACAAGTGCCCTGCATTAGTGATCATTCAGCCAAAATTAGAGGTTAATACATGGTAAGCATGTAGATTGCACCATAAGAAACCATGTGTAGTGATTAATTACTAGCAATTTTAGTATCCTGACCGAACAACTAAAAATCCCCAGTGTATCTCTAACTTTTTAGGTCTTGCGTATGAAAAATATCTGAAAGCTACGTGTTTGTGTTTCTAATAGCAGTTAATCAATTCCTTTTATTTTCAGATCTGCTTTGGAAAAAAAGACATCTGGAATCTGATTAGTTGTTATGAACAATACAAACACTCCTTTTTTTGGATCACTTTTGTACACATGGCCCAGTGTGACTACATAGTTAGTTAGTACATCTTTTTATGTCTTTTTTTTATAAGTCATTTTCAGCCATTGGGTTACCAGACTAATTATTTTAGAGAGCTATTCGGTCTTGGTGATGTGTTTTACCAAGCAATGTTCAGGCTTTCTCTGCTAAATGGCTGCATTTAATTTTACGTAAAAAATAAATCCATCAAACTGTGATCCCCTTGCTGCAGTATAATAGTATAAAATCAGACTGGTGCAAACTACTCATAGACTTCATTGTTAAAGTGGACTGATCTCCCCTGTTGGTCTTGAATATAAAAAAAAAAAATCTTTACTACATCGACCCTTTTGCACCAAAAAAAAAACAATATCAAATATTTTTATATTTTTAAAACTAGATTTTGAACTTTGCATTTGATAACATGTTGTGTAATGTTTAAATGATCAATAGTTCTTTCAGTTTGGGATCAAGCTATTCTTATACATATTATTTTATTTATTTATTGTATTACATTGGGTTTATCTTGCTTCATTCATGTGCCATATAAAATTCAGCTTTTCTTTTATAAAAACCCTTCCAATGCTTTAAAAGTACTATGTATATCTGAATACAGTGGCACACTCTTAGGTCAAGAAAAAAATCTACTGCACAATACCAAAAGAGCTGAAATGAAATGAAAAAATAATTGTAATAAACGTAAAGGTGACCGTTTTTTATGTTGAGCCAAAGTTCATGAGAATTCCCCTGATAGTTTACTCAGAAAGAGACATCTCTCGGACAACTTGCAACTACAAAAATGCTTATTCCTCCTTTTTTTCTTTTCTTTCTTTTTTTTTTTTTTTTAAATTATAAATTCTTTTTTTAAGAAGAAAACAGCAGGAGTTTACAGTACATCTTCTCATTTCTTAAAAACATGCATGAGTAAAGTGATACACAAATAGGTTTGATAGATCAGTAGTCAAACCTTACAAAGTACAATAGTTAAGAGAATGGGCAACAGCTTTGTGATTTTTTTTTGTTTTTTTTTTGATTTTTGTTTTTGTTTCACTTTTATCATAAGGACATTTTGCTTTTGTTTAATTTTGAGAATTCTTAAAAAAAAGAAAAAAATAAGTTGAGCTCCAGTTGTTTTTGATTTATTTAAGACTTTCCCACTCAAATGTTCAAGAACAAGGCAATACAAAAACTTAGGCAGAAAATGACTAAAGCAGGCCATAGACGAGTGGAAAAATGAACGGTCTGTCAATTTGAAAAACAAAAATAGCTCTTTGTGTCATCGTTTTGTTTTTATAAAAAAAAAAATCCAACATGTTCGGTCAGGCACTTTCAAGCACGAACATTATGTGTCAGCTGGCACACTAATGATAAAAACAAAAGATTTGATGATTGATAAGAATTTTCATTCGGTTTTCGATTTGTCTATGGCCTGCTTAAGTAGCCTATCAAATTTGCCCCTTTTTAATTTTTTAACCTTTTGGCTGAGTTTATAGATCTGTTTGTCCCAAGAATGTTTAAATGCACTTACTGTTGACTGACTCACTAGCTCTGTTAAATCTGTTCCAATCATCAATCACACTTTCAGTAAACTAATGCTTTCTAAGGTTAGTTTAAACTTTCTTTTTGCTAGTTTGAGGTCATATCTCCATGTTCTTCACCTTTCCTTCATGTTGAAAATACTGTCCTTCTGAACCTTATACACATGTATATAACGTTTTGCATCATGTCCCTCCTTTCCATAGTTT